GGAAATTACAGGCAAAGTAGACTTTGTGTTTTTCTTCTTCTTTTTTCTTCTCTTAAATGCCACATTAAATTGTCTGTGCTAGATTAACAACTGAATCTTACAATAAGGAAGAGTAGCTTTAAGAAATATGTGTTTAGATAAGTGGCATAACTTCATTAACATGGATCTGTTGTAAGGTTTTGTGTCCTTTTAGACATAGCAGATCATGTCAGCTGTTACACAGATTCTATATTTGTAGTAATGTGTAGTAAAGCAGCCCTCTTTAAGTGTCAGATTTATCTACAGAATAGCTGCCCCAAACTCCAAGATTACATACAGTCCCCAGAAATTTGAAAATGAGGCGTTCACCCTCCATACATCCAATCGCTTTAGAGTCTCAGGAGGGTTGAAGCCAATTCCAGCTGTCATTGGTTTGAGAGGTGGGTCACACCCTAGATGAGTTACAGGTCATTCATGCTTACATTAACATAAGAAGCCAACTGATCATTTCAAACTACCCCATCATGCATATTATTGGATTTTGAGATAAGCCAGAATACCAGAAAACAATACACGCAGTTAAAGATGCATCATGCAAAGTTCCCACAGAAACATAGAGATTCGGTTGCTTCTCATTAATCAGAACTGACACGCTGTCCGAAGAGAAGGTCATGTGTAAGCACTTATTTTTGACCCACTAACCTGTGCTGCTCTTGGAGGTTTGCTTTGGTTGTTACTGAAATGAACTAACTGGGTCTTAATTTAAAAATGTGTGTTTTGTTATTAGATCTCCTGTAGAACTTTCCTTGTCCAGTAGCACATTTTTGTTATTGTAGAATAATGCTTTTATTTTTTTTTAAGTAATATCCAATTTTCTTTTCTTCTGCTAAACATGAAAATATCACATTCGATTTAACAGAAATGTTGTAAATATAATTGAAGTCGTCCATTTGTGACATTTTTTCATGGACTGTATGTTAAGTTGTAAAATGCCCATATTTTGGTAACCATCACTCCTGCATCTCTTCACATTATACTACCTAATGCAAGTTCATCATGTAAAATGAAAACTGCTGCCCTTCTGCGGAAGGAGTAAGGCATTATCTTGTAAGAAATCCTCTTTTTGTCATTTCTGAGATGATCAAATCCACAGAGGCTGATAATTCAGACACTCAACTAACCAAATTTATTGCTTTGGTCAGCAATAATTTCAGTTAATCAGCACAAGAGTTTTTAGCTATGCTAACATAATTGGAAAAGGGCCCATTCGAATGATCAGTTAACACTTTAACACGTTAAACTTGCATGAGTTCCAATTTGCCGTTTCAACGCAGGAGTAATGGTTGGTGTGAAGGGACCTTTGTACATTGAAGAAAATATAATCTGATCAAACATTATTCAGCTTTAAATATTGTTCAGCTTTAAAGTTACTGTGCAACTGTGTAATAAAAATGTGCTCACGACTTTGGCCTTGAGAGCGATAAGAAGCAATCGCCTCATCCTGCAGGTGCAAGATATCTGCAAGCGAAGAGACTAGAACACCCAAGGCCGATTTCCTTTTATGGAGTTGTTTTTCTGCTAATGCAGCACTTTCCTCACAACCCCCTCCTGTAAGTTTTAGAGAATATATACCCATCCTCACAGCAAATCTTGGGAATCTCCTGATGTGAGCTGTGTTGAGAGGTTGTCTCTGTCTCAATAAAAGTTCACTGATTCCCCATCTGCCGCAGGTGTCCGGTTGTCTTCATTCTCCGCCAGCCTGGTTAAGTCAATTCCTCCTTAACATCTAAAAGAACCTATTTAATGAAGGAAGACGGGTTCACTTTGTGTTTAATATTATTCTATTGCTGTTGTTGTTTTTTTTGTATCCTTCTACATCAATGTAGATATTTCAATATAAAACATCATAATTAATGATTTCATCAGTCATTTGCAAATTTATTTAACATTTACCTGTTATATTTAGATAATAATTTAAAGTGAGGCAAACTTACGGGGTTACTTTTTGTCAAGGTTTACTCGCTGTGCTTCTTTCTTGTATAGAACTGACCTTGTGGTTGAGTGCACAATCAGCTAAAGTGCATAATCAATGATGTTTTATTAACATTGCCACAAGCAATAATAAAAGATCTTTTAATATATAAGTGGATTGTGTGGTCACGGATACAAATGTTTGCTGTTTCTAATATTCCGTTTTCTGATATTAAGTGCATTTTTTATTGTTATTGGATCTCACATCTCTGCATTTTGTGTCCTCGGTTACTTTTTCAGTGTATGTGTGAGAGAGTATATATATTTTACAATTGCCACAGGAAATTGTACTTTCGAATGAGTTTGAATGAGTGCTTTTATGTGTAGGTGGGTATAATGCACGCAGTCAGATGAAAGTCTCGAATGGAGTCAAGTGCAACAATCGTGGGGGGGAAATATTAATTAATGGCTATTATCATTTTATCACTTGGTGTAAATTAGAAAAAAAACGTTTGGGGTCATATGCTCATTGTCATTCAAAAGGGTATTTCAATAAAAATGCCCATGCAGACTGAGTCATATTGTGCCCACCTGTCAATTGAACCTTTCAAATACCTGCTGGACCATCATATAGCTGTGGAATGGGAGGGCATATTTAAAAGGTCATATTATTTGAAATTCAAGGCAGTTTGAATGAAATGAGAAACCATTTACTCACACGCTGCCTGATTCCTGACAGTAAAAAGGGAGGGGGGTACGGGACTGGGGAGGGTCATAATTGTGCATAATTTTGCAGAAAGAAGAATCAATTTTTGACAGAAATATTATAGCATGAGATATATTCCGATGCACCACAATAAATAACAAAATGAGGAGAGCGATGTAAGTGGTTTGGTGCCAGCATTTGAGAGGTGGTTTAATACTAAGTGGTTATCCAGCGCTGTAGATGTGTCATCACAGAGAACAAACATCATTAAACTTATTATTCATTGCTAGTAGCTTTGCTGAAGCCCCTGATGGCACATTAACAACAGTCTACTGAGAGACGCATCACTCTTCAGTGACTCTAAAGAGGAGAATGAAAAGCATTCCCATTGACTTGCCCTCCTCCCCCAAGCCCATTAATGATAATCATTATTTTCCCTTTGTTCATTAAAAAGAAGTCTAATATCCTCCTCCAGTGTGTGGAGATGTACGTTTTTGTGTATCCCTAAAGTGGCTCTTTCACCACGTTACCTCGAGACTCACAGCAGGAGGAAGACATGATAAGTGACAAATGAAAACTCAGTCTGAATATCACCCCCATCTCTGTTGTCATTATCTCTTTTCATGCCGATTCAAAACCACTTTCACTCCCGCTTCAGATCCCAGTCAATCACATGGCTCAAAAACACCAGCAGGGAAACACAGTTGTACAACCACAGCACAGCAGGCTAGTTAGTTTCCCTCCCCTCTGTGGTTCTCTTTCTCTTCTAATGAAAGTAGATTATTTAGATGAACAGCAAGGTTTGCACCGCGGGCGCTAAGTGTCACTCACATTGTGCTTAACTTCTCTTCGATATTGATCTATTTTTTCTAATCCTTGGTTTCAAAAGGATTAGAAAAGCTTTAAAAATGTAAAATAAGTAAAAAGCCCGTGAAAATATCAAGACCTACAACTAATTTATTAAAGTAACACGTATTATTAGTCTGATGTTACTTATGCTTCCATGTCATGAAGGTACCCAAGTATAAAAACATAAAAGTCCCATAACGCACATCTTAATTATACTGAACCTTAATTTGTTTTGCATTTGATTTAGCACCACGGGCAGATCAAACCCTTTCTGAACATATTCAATTTTAACTTCTAATCCAGGTATTTTTTTATTCAGTTCCTTGGGCTAACAGGATAAGAAAATAATTACAAACTTCCTTTTTGTGTGCAAAAGACAAATGTTTCATGTTGGACAACTAAAACGAATAATGTATCAATTACTCATGATATACTATTTACTAACTGAAAGGGTATTTACATTTCAATGCTGATTACTTAACATGAGAAGTAATTAGTTACCCATTAATTTCATTAGCCAATGTTCCATCTGAGGATAATTTGAAAAATTTGTCACACATCACATCAACAGTAGTCTTCAGTAATGCCTTAAGTCCCTGCCCAGCTGTGACAGTTTATTGCAATGGCTGGTAAAACATGGCTGTCTGTAACGTAGAACTGCAATGATTCATCACCAAAATCAGTAACATTGACTATAAAAATTCGCAGACGTGTCATATTCTCAAACCACCTAAATTTGTTTTGTAACTGCAATACACACAGGAATCTATGGGGGCAGTATCGTCTGTATGGTCTGCAAAGACAGCATCGAAGACATGAGCGAAGAAGAATATAACAGGAGGACGGAAGAAAATGGAAACTGAGGTTTTAAAAAATGTGAAAGCATTTCACAGACAACAAACAAAATTAAATTCAGACTGGAGCTTTTCTTTGTTAGATATGTGTTATTCTTTAATATTCATATTTATTATGTGTTTATTATCTTTAATACATATATATCTCATTATTTTATATTTCAAAATTTCCTCATAAATTTGCTCGTTTTTTCTTGTACTACACAAATATGCTTTATAGAATAGAGTGATGAAAGAAAATGCCACATTCACACAACCAAGAGTGAAATCAAGCACTGAAACATTTGTGCACATTTTTCCTTAGTCAACTCAAATACACCATCTTCATGTCTGTGACGTCTCAAAGCTAGATTTGCTTCATCTTTGCGCGCAGTCTTCCAGGGTCTTTTATTTTGAAAATTAAAAGTAGTTTTCTGTGCTTTTCCTGTTCCACCTTACATAGGAAGTTGAAGAACGGTTTCTGGAATGATTCTGAAACATGCTTTGGTGAATCTGGAAGGACATATTATGTCTTGAATGGGTCCAATCCACTCCGGTGGTCTTGTTCTATAGAATTTGTTGGGAAAACACTTTCCTGTTCAGTTGATGGTCTCAATCACTCATCATAGGTGATATTAAATAAAGGTAACACCCCTTTCAACACTTGGGATACAGATTTAAATGGTTACCTGTGTGTTGGGCCAATAGCTGAGGTTCGACTACTGGAGCAGAGTGGATGACTAATGAAACGCTCTGAGAACTTGGTTTGATCAATTTGTATTGACAATTAAAGAATCTTACATACATACAATGAAAACAATAACAGTACATGAAAGGAAAAATTGGGCCCAAGTCATGGAAAATAATAAACAAAACACACACAACCCCGGGGGGATTTGACTCAGTCTCTCTCTCGTGTCAGCCGACACCCTTAAGTGTGAGTCCAGCAATGAGGATTCTCTTTGCAGGATGTGCAAAGGAGGAATGACGTGTAAATCTGTCCTACCACTTAAGTAGAGTTTGTACAGTTCACAGTTCGTCCAAAGAATTTAGTTCTCTTCCTAGAGCAATCATCTCAAGGATCCTGGAAGGGTGGCTCGCCATCTTTGGACTGGATCATCACTGAACTGTACTCCCAAGTAAAAAACCTGACCTGTATAACACAGTCAGAATAACATTCAAAAATCTATATTTAGTCATTTATACATATATCCTTTCTTATGTTTCGTTCATACATACTAACAAATTTGTATTTTACCTTTCCAGTATACAGAAAGAACGACAGAATATTCCAAAACATAGACAATGATAACTTCTTACCAAAGTAACCAATAAAATGGGCTCTCCTGGAGCTTCAAAATGGCGATGGTGAAGCGTTGTAGCACAACTACAAAGAAACATAACCCCATTTTCTTTAAACTGTATTCACCTCACAATGAACACAATTAAGGATTGATATAGGAACATATCAACATCTACAGCATACATATGACTTACAATCTTTACATGCATCGTCATAGGAAGCTAACAAACTCTAACATACAGTATAATCCTCACAATCACACATGTACAGCCACATGGCTAATAGCAATAGCCGCGATAGCCGCTAGCATGTCATCGTTAGTGGCTTAAACTCACAATATTCTTGTTCACAACAAATTAACTCACCCAGAAGAATCCGAGCAGTAACAAACTCCTTTCTGGTTAACAACAATTTCCAGATAGTTTATTTCCACCATACAATCCGACTGAATAAAAACAACTACGCTTTTCACTTGGAAAAAACGGACTTTTCTTCCTCTCCCTCTCTCCTGATATCCGTAACTGCTACGCAGTGAACGGCAGGAGGCGGTACTTCCCCCTGTATACTTCAAGGACCATCAGGACATTATAGACATCTTCTATTTTATTAATTCTCAACAAAATAATTTAACTTAATAAAACTTAAGAGTGAACTCAAAATACTAACATCACTCATAACACACTAAAACCCTTAGTAACTCTCCAGGGTTACACCCTCCCCCACTGAAGGGTGGCACGTCCCCGTGCACCTTCTCTGCAGCTGTGTTGTTACTGGGTCGACAGCAGGGATGGTGGTTTGATGGTACCATAACGGTTCTGCAGCATCCATTGACCTTATTATAGCAGCACCCAGACCGTGAAAAAGTGACTGAACCACCTCTATTAAAGGGTTTCCAAGTTCAGCATAATGGAGTCTCTTTGGTCGACTTCGCTGCCTGTTCGAACATCTGACAGCCTCATCTAACCCCTCTGATGGCTCTTTTATGTGGGTTAAATTAGCTATGTCATCAGTTTCAGGAACATCTTGTGTACCTTCAATGTCAAGCAGCTGAGATTCACCAACAGGTGAAATGAGGGGCACTGAAATCTCACTATCCTTCCCAGAAGATTCACTTTCATCACCTCCAGTTCTTCCTGGCTCTTCAAGGTCAAGAAAGCTGACCTGAGGTGAGCTTGTGGCTGGGGGCTCCTCCCCTGCTTCTATGGGAATTTCCACCTCAATTTCATCTGAAACTGCTCCGGGAACGACCACTCTGCTAAGAGGGATCACATTGTCAGTAACGTGCTGCTCTGGTGGAATGTCGGATGAAACGTGGTCAACCTTGGGCATTAGGGTGGAGACAGCTGGATCCAAAAGTACAACCCTTGAAGGATACACTTCTTCTTCGTCTGACATGACATCATCAAAGCATTCGTTTACATGACCTGGGTTTTGACGGGTTCTTGGCCTTCGCACTGTTGGCGGTACTGGGGTTTCAGGAGCACTTACGGGCAGAAACCCACAGGGCAACAGGAGGTCCCTGTGTAAAGTGCGCAAAGGACCATTTCCAGTCTCAGGCCGCACTGTATACACGGGAAGGTCATTAGCATGTGACACAACTATATACACATCTGCCTCCCATTTGTCTGCTAGCTTGTGCTTTCCCCTCAGTCTCACATTTCGAACTAGCACTCGATCCCCTGGTTCAAGGCTAGACCCTGTAACTCTCTGGTCGAACCTAGTTTTGTTACGATCTGCAGATTTCTTAGCATTTCTGCTTGAAAGCTCATAACTCTCTTTCAGGCGGTTCTTCAGGCCTTGCACATACTGTGAATGAGACAATGGCAGAGGATCAACAGGAAGCCCGAAAGCTAAGTCCACAGGGAGTCTTGGTTGTCTCCCGAACATAAGCTCATAAGGTGCAAACCCTGTGGCTTCATGCTTTGTGCAGTTGTATGCATGCACAAGAGGCTTAACATAGTCCCTCCAACGTGACTTGTCCTTATTATTTAGAGTGCCTAGCATCTGCAGCAGCGTTCTGTTAAAACGCTCAACAGGGTTACCCCTTGGATGGTACGGGGTTGTCCGTGTCTTCCGGATTCCTGCCATTTCACACAGCTCCTTAATGGTACGGGACTCAAAATCGGGGCCCTGATCACTATGGAGTTTTTCAGGGAACCCATAATGTGATATAAAATGTTCCCACAGACACTTAGCCACGGTAGTCGCCTTTTGGTTTGGCGTTGGTATTGCGAGGGCATACTTAGTAAAATGATCCGTTATTACTAATATGTCCTTGGTATTACTTTGATCTGGTTCCACACTCAGAAAGTCCATGCAGACTAATTCCAATGGTCTGGTGGTCGCTATTGAAACCATTGGGGCTGCTCTCTCTGGTGGAGTTTTTCTTTTCACACAGCGATCACAAGTCTTAATCTTTTCTTCAACCACTGAGGACATTTTAGGCCAATAAAATCTAGCTCTCACTAGATCAAGGGTGCGTTCAACACCAAGATGGCCCATGTCGTCGTGTAGACTTTCAAGTACCATATCTCTCAGTTCTCTTGGTAAGACAAGTTGATGAGTCACTCCCATCACTCCCTGTCTCTTGCGAAACAAGACTCCATTTTTGAGCTCTAGCCGGTTCCATTCTCTTAACAAGAGTCCATACTCAGGGAGCTCCTTTCTCACCTGAGGTGGAGGTGTCTCACCACTTTCCAACTGAGTAATTATTTCTCTGATGCTTGCGTCTGCTTGCTGTTTCTCTGAGATTTCAGCAAATGAGAAAAAGGGGATAACTGGCAGCCCATGACTGTCATTCCCTTGGAAGCAAGGTGGCAGGGCTTCAGGACTGAGTGCTATGGACTCAACCAAAGCAACTGAGTGATCAGAGCACTCAGAACCTTCACCAGCAAAATAGATGTCATGCCGCTCACAGATGGCTTTGATCACCTCTGGTTGAATGACCTCTGAGGTTTCCGTTTCTGATAGGTGGTTGGCAGTGAACTTACAGATCCTTTCCTTCTCTTTCACTGAGATATGATCATCTATGAGTCCACCATGTGGCCTTCGTGATAATGCATCTGCGTCCACATTCTGTTTTCCAGCCCTATACTGCAGCTTGAATGAGTAGGTGGAGAGAGCAGACAGCCATCTATAACTAGTCGCGTCAAGCTTGGCAGAGGTTAGAATATATGTAAGGGGGTTGCTATCGGTGACCACAGTGAAACTAGCCCCATAAAGGTAGTCACTAAACTTTTCTGTGACAGCCCACTTAAGGGCTAGGAACTCCAACTTATGTGCTGGATACTTAGCTTCACTTCTAGACAACCCTCTGCTTGCAAATGCTATAGCCTTAAGCTCACCATCTTGCTCTTGGTATAAGGCTGCACCTAACCCAGTCGTACTCGCATCTGTGTGGAGCAGGTAGGGAAGTTTAGGATTAGCAAAACCCAAGACAGGTGCTGAAGTGAGCCTCTCGATTATGGTGTCAAAAGCCTGTTGACAAGAAGCAGTCCAGCGCTCACCAAATGGTTCTTTAGGATTGCGGTACTTGACATTGGCCTTTCTTTCCTTGTTCTTACAGGTTGGAGGATATCCGGTTGTTAGCTCATTCAGCGGCTTCACAATTCTGGAGAAATCCTGAATAAACCTGCGATAGTAACCGCTGAACCCAAGGAAGGACCTCAGTTCTTTTAGGTTAGATGGCTTTGGCCAGGTTTTCAGGGCACTAGTTTTCTCTGGATCAGTCTCAACTCCGTTCTGAGAAACAATATGGCCTAGATATCGGACAGAAGACTGAAAGAACTTACACTTCTCTGGTGAAAGTTTGAGACCATATTCCTTCAGGCGATTCAGAACATGCAGAAGGCGCCTCTCGTGCTCTTCAACTGTGTCTGAAAAAATGATAAGGTCATCAATAAAAACTAACACCTCTTTCAGGTTCAGATCACCCATGCAACGCTCCATGCAGCGCTGGAAGGTGCTGGGGCATTTGTGACTCCTTGCGGCATTCTATTAAATTCATAAAATCCCAAGGGACACACGAACGCTGTCTTCTCCTTATCGGCCTCCTCCATTTCAATTTGGTAGTAGCCGGATTTCAAGTCTAAAACCGAAAACCACTTTGAGCCTGTGAGAGCTGAAAAAGCCTCTTCAAGATTGGGAAGGGCATAGGCGTCCTTGATTGTCTGTGAGTTCAATTTGCGGTAATCGATGCAGAGACGGATGGAGTCATCACGCTTCCGGACCACCACAATAGGGGACGCAAAAGGAGACTCAGATTCGCGAATCACGCCTGCATCCAACAGCTCCCTTAAATGTTTCCTCACGGCATCAACATCCTGTGGGTGTATTGGCCGGGCTCTCTGCTTAAAAGGTGTCTGGTCGTGAAGTCTGATGTGATGCTTGACCTGACCTACATGACCAAAGTCGAGGTCATGGTGAGCAAACACTTCTGGCATTGACTTCAATGTTTGTGTTACTCTTTCCTTCCAGTCAGCTGACAAAGGAGAATCTCCAAAGTCAAACTGTAAATCTGGACTAGAATTGTTCTTGTCTTTGACAGAGTCAGGTACATTTGTGTCAGACTTATGTGCTACTATTTGTTGAACAGCACTGAGTTCAGCAATCACTGTTTTTGGTGTGATCGTTACATCATGGGCGGTTTCATTTTTGACTATCACTGCCAATGTGCTCGCCCTTTTCTTAGGCAATGTGACTAAACAATTCGCTACCAGTAGGCCACCAGGCAAGGAGGGTGTGGTTGGTTGCTCTACCAAGGCCCACTTTTCATTAAAGGAGCTCCCAACAAGGGCTACCCCTTCTAAAGCAACAGTCCGTCCAGCAGGAATCGTCTCAGATTTCCCCCCAGACAGTTTTACTTGGCCCAGCTTGCCATTTGGTTGCTGTCTGTGCCTAAGCTCCAAGGCTTTGAGGACTGCTCGGTAGCCATACTGGACAGGTAGGCCAAATTCATTCATGTGAGTAGCAACACTTGAGTACAACACGTCTAGTGTATTGGTGCCAATGAGAATTTGCTCTTGGGCCTTTTCTCTCATGTTTGGAACCACAAGGGCTAAAGTAGGAATCTCAATCTCCTCTCCTACAAACTCTTTGGGAAAAGTGATATCTATCTCCACATAGCCAAAATATGGAACTTGCTGTCCATTAGCTCCTTCAACCTCCAACAAATCATCTAATGATTTAATTTCTTGGTCCTTCAGATTGCTTTGATAGAAGGACCATGGGATCGTTGTAACTTGAGATCCAGAGTCTAAAAGACAGTTTACTCTTTTCTCTGCAACACACACTTCAGCAGTGCATTTGCTTCCAACTAACCTCTGTGGCAGCCCACATGGCTGACCTTTTGTCTGTCTTTTGCCTTTTTGCTTGGAGGTAGAGGGACTAGTGTTAGACTGAACTCCTGTCTGTCCCACAACAGGAGTTGCTGT